CCCCCCCCCCGCCAGCCTCTGGGCAGCCTTAATTGCCTACAGAGCTTTTTTTATTATTATTTTCTTTTTCTACCTTTGACGATTTCTGTATTTGGATCAGTGTGAAATGGTAGGACCTGGCTGACCGTGGACTTTGCGGACGGAGCCGTTCAGATCTGGGGTGGGGGCTCAGCATCCGCCGGGTGCTGGCAGACTCCTACGCAACCGGCAGCCCAGAGTTAACCTCAAATCAGCATGAATTCTTGGTGCGCAGCTAAAACAGGCAGCTCTGCTGCTGCGTCCTGGGCTGCGAGGTGTCCTGTGAGGCTGGGGGGTGAGGCTGATGGGCTCACACCCTGCTCCCCCCCACCACCGCTGCATCCCCCGGCCCGTGGCACTGGTACTTCTTGGCAGCTTTGGCTGCCTCCAAAGGGATTTGCGAGGCCCCCTCCTTCCTTGACCCTTCACACATGGCGGTTTTCTCCTGTGCCGTGTAGCTGGCTAATAAGCACTAAGAAGAAATGAAAGAAAATCAAAGCCCGATTGCCACCCATTCAAAGCGGCAGCCCTAGTTAAGAACATATTGTGTGCGGCCCGCTTGCGTCCAAGCTGTAACGAGGTCCTGTTTCTCTAACGGGGCAGGGAAGGTAATTGCTGTAACTGAGGCAGCCTTTTGCTGGGCAGATACGTGTCTGAACCCTTAACGTTGCAAAACGCTGTATGAAAGCAAATAAGCATTACAAACCAGCGATACAGAGAAGTGTAAATCGGGTATCTTGCCCAAGACAGGGTCAGGACAGATCTGAGTAGGGAGGGGAGCTGAGCCCTTGTGGATATTTCAGACTCGCTGGAGTCGTACCAAAGTCAGGCTGGAATGATTTCTCTGCTCTGACGAAGCTCTCCCCTCCCTGGATGCTGTTAACATATGCCTGCCAAAGATGACTTACTACTGACGCTTCACAGCACCCCTGAAGAATAAGGATCTGGAGTTGCTTTTTCCTTTCAGAGTGCACCAGATTGCACCACGAGTTACACAGAAAAAAAGTTTTCTTGGGGCTGCACACACATCTTCACACATCTTCCTCCTGCAGCCTCAAGCTGCCTCAGCCAACCGTGCAAGTGCTGCATTTTTCAGCAGAAATCTGAATGTCTCGGGCACGCTGCAGCAAGCGTGGTGGTTGTCATGCAGATCTTCATGGTTTTGTCAATTAGCGTTACTTCGTTTGGCGAGCACAGTAGGAAGGTTTGATGCTTACACGTGGCAGACGTGAGCGCTTTGGGGAGGTGAGATCACGGTTCACACTTCCCACGGGCTCTCGGGCCTCCCTTGGTTGCTGAGGGAGATGAGGTTCCCCCGCCCCGTGCCCACTAGAGCATCCCGAAGTGTCCCAGCCAGCCGAGACCCAGTGCGATGGGAGGAGCGGAGCCGGGAGTGTGGCCGGTCCCTGCCCGTGTGCCGCCTGCCGTAACTTGCCCTCCCTGGGAGCCTGGTCTGGCACACGGGGCCCCCGGTTGTGTTGGTGCACGAAGGAGAAGGCACAGCTTGTGTGTCGAGCCCAGAGGGGTCCCTGGGACGAAAGGGCACAAAAATCACCCACTTGCAAAGGGAGTGCAGCTGGCAGGGAAGGAACTGCACAAGTCCATGCCCTGCTCCATGGTTTTCCAATGCCAATCTGCGATGCACAGCCCCGAGGGGGTTCGGGGAGGAGGAGTAGGGGGCTTCATCTTGCTCCAGCACGGCAACGTCTCGGCCCCGTGAAATGCCAGCTCTGCAGTGGGCTGAGCCCATCCGGGGGAGCAAGGGCCTGACAGTGCTGGAGGGACAGGCAGGATTTAGCAGAGGGATGGATGGATGGATGGATTGGATGGATGGACAGACAGCTGTTGTCAGATGAGTGACCCTGCAGCAAGGTGGGAGTGTGTGTGGCCCCGAGCCAGCGTGCTCCCATGGGCAGAGGCTGTTAAAGGCAGCACTTCCTTATCTCCTCCTTCTCCACCTTCCGTAGAGTAGCAAGAGGTGCTTGTTCTGGGGCAGGGACCCCCCACACCCTGTGTGGGGCAAAGAGGCAAGAGTTCAGAGGCAGCCCTGGTGAGAGGGAGCCCAGACAGAAACCTCCTGGAGCCACGGCTCTGCCTGGGAAGGTGGGTTGAGTAAGCAATGTTCCGGGTGGTGTTTGTCCCTCCTGTGTTCAAGGCAAAAGGAACAAGGGTGTTCTTTTTAAGTAAACACAATTGCACCAAGGGGAACAGTTGGCTCCTGCTTTCGGCTTCACAGAACTGATGGGGAAGGGACAGCAGCCACGATGGCTGCACAGGTTTCAGCACCTGTATCTGTGCAGGTCGGCTTGCTGCCTGGCCCATGCAAAATCATATGTCCCTCATGTTTGGTTTCCTCCTTTGAGATCATTTTTCTTGTGGTTGTTGCCCTTTAAGATGGCTTTAAACATACCCCCAAGTGAAGCGAGGTTGCTTACCTCTCACCAACCATAGGGTGACTCCTGTGGTACCTGCACAGTTTGTCTTCCTGCTTGCCAGACAGAGGCTGCAGGTATGGGATGGCATGGCATGGCATGGCATGGCATAGTATGGCATGACATGGTGTGGAATGGAATAGAAATTAGAATAGAATAGAATAGAATAGAATAGAATAGAATAGAATAGAATAGAATAGAATAGAATAGAATAGAATAGAATTATTTGGCTTGGAAGAGACCTCAAAGATCACCTGCTTCCCGCCCCACTAGTGGGACATCTCCCACTAGAACAGAATAGAACAGAAAATCTTTTCAGTTGATGAAAGGACCTACAATGCTCACCTAGTCCAGCTGCCTGTTTTCTTCTTGTGCAAGGCAGGGTGGGGAAGTGAGGATGATGAGAAGCAGAGGTCACTGCCCTGAGTGAGTGTGTGTTTGTAACTGATTCAGAGCTAAATTCAGGCTTTCTGGGTGCCAGGCAGCCGAGCTCTTAGCATATGTGCTAAAGGATGACAAATAAAGCACGATGAAGTGTACGGCAGAATAACATATGGCAATCGAGACAGGCTCTCAGCAAGAGAAGAGCTGGGGAGAGCCAGCGCTCCTGCACCCGTCCAACACCTCTCTTCATGCTCAATGCTATTTTAAACCAGACAGCAGCGTGTCAGCCTGTGCACGGCACAAAGATGTCCCGCCCACTGTGTCCTGCCTGAGCTGCTGCCGTGTCTGCTCCCTACAAGCCTGAGCAGCTTCTTCTCCCATCGTTGCTGACTTCTCCTCAGCGGTACCTCTGTCACAAGGCTGTGCTCCCCGAGAGACGAGCTGTTCCCGCCATTCCTAGAGCAACCCTGCTCCGTGCGGGACGGACAGACAGACAGACGGATGGCAGTCCTGGCAGCGCCGTGAGGCCGCGGGTCTCAGCTGGGCAGGAGGGAACAGGTTGTGCTCGTAGCAGGAGCGGGCTCCTCCACAGCCATGCTGGTGCAAGTGCATCAGTGTCAGCTTTTAAATTAGCAGTTCTGGTTTGTCAGCAGAGCGCGGCTGAAAATTCACAACCTGAGAGGCGTCTGGTGTATTCCTCCGGTACTGATTTCTGGCGATCAGCATAAAGGAGCAGGAGAGGCACCGGGGAGGGTTTTCACCTGACAGAAACCAGGCTGTATGCCAAGAGCACAGAGCTTTCCCTCCCCGTGCCCGGTGCTGCAGATCCAGAAGAGCAAACGAGGTGGGCAAAATGCAGATTTTTATCAACTGTTTGGTCTGGTTCATTGTTTTGCCTTGTTTGTTACTGGTATAAGTCTGTTCCTAGCTTTTGGAGAATTCAGCACAACGCTCTCTGAAGGAACTAGGCACCACAAATCCTCAGGGCATGCAAGTAACTGCAGCTTGTCAGCACATGTTTTTCCCCTTAGGCGAAGCACCATCATAAACCCATTTATTTTGGGCGGGAATCAGCCGCCTGGCGTGTGTGGCTGGTCCAGGAGCCATTTAGCCGCCGCTCCCCTCCTTTGCTGCGCCAGAGCGGCTGAGCACAGCCACGTCATCACAGGAATGTTTCCTGGAGCTGTGGGCAAGGTTCAGTTGCTTTTCCCTCTGTACCCACCCTGGAGCCTCAAAGGCAGCATCCCGGCTCCCTCCTGGGGAGGGGGAAGGCTGATCCTTCCTTCACCTCCTGCCCCGCTGCCTTTCGCAGCCCGCCCCACACACGCCGAGCGGGAGAGGGGCACGAGCACCCACCAGAAACGACACCCCCAGCAGAAAGCCAAGGATCAGGAGAAGAG